AATTTTTATTTTAAAAAAATGCATTTTCAACTTTAGAATATCTAAGTTTAATCAACAGAGAAGAGGAGACATAGAGAGTGAGTACAAAGGACTTACAAATTTTGTCTCCGACCCTGAAGATCCTGCCAGAGGACCAGGCAGCTATGTCACAGGAAGGGTCCCACCCATGGTCGCCGCCGACCACATGATGGATTTGGGCTCCGGCCGATTTCCCGCCAAGGACCACCAAGGCCATGAGCCGAAGAGCCATCACCATCTTCTTCTCTGTAGTCATTTTCGCTGAACAGGAAAGCACCGGAGACAGGACGTTCTTTGGAGAAACGAGGAAGTCAAAGTGTGGGGGTAAAAGCAAAAGAAGCCCTTCTCAGAACAAGCACTTCCCCGAGCAACTTCGTACACGGTGTGGCTGGGCTGTTACGTTACTAGGCTCTCATAGGTCGGCCCATCAATTTCTGGATAAATGCGAAAACGGTCATAGAACTAATATAGTTGACAAAAAAAACAGAAACTCCTAATTTGGTCCACAACTATTATATATCAACATCTGAATTAATTCTTAAACCAAAAAAAAAATTAAATTTAATCTCTAAAATTTTTAATTTTAATTTTAAATTAAATTTTCTATTTAAAAACAACTAATGTATTTTATTATTAACTTAAAATATCACAATTAAGTAATTACTTTCTTCTTTCAAGTGATGAATACATTAATTATTTTTTAATAAAAAGACTCACTTGAAATCAATTTTAAAAAATTTAAAAATCAAATCAAAATTTTTTTTAAATTTAAAAATTAACTCAAGAATTCATAAAATAATTACAGAATTAAATTAAAATTTTCATTATTTGAAATTAATTTTGTTAAGTGATTTTAAGAATATATTTTTATATTAATTTAATACATTTTAAAAAATTAATTTTTATATATTAATTTATTAATAACATTTATTTATTAATAAATTTAATATTTAACTTCTCGATATTTGTGAAAGGTTATATATATATAGACACACACATGTATACCTTCCAGTCTACCCAACAAAACTCCAATCCTTTGTGCCCAACAACTTTTGCTGTTGCACCACACTCAGCCTTTCCTAGAACTGCTTGTCTTCATCCCAGAAATATACGGTTGTGGGTTTAAATTGAAACTCGGCCGACCGCGAATTCGATAGGGTACCATATTCCTAGGAGCGGGTATCGGGTTGGTTCAATTAATTGAATTAATTTTTTTATTTAAATGTTGGTTGATAAAATTATATATATTTATATATTTAAGAATATGATATAATTATAAATTTATAATCATATATAATATTGTATTTTAAATGTTATCATATACATAAA